AGCCCAAAGATTCCTTTCATTTTGTCATAATTTATTTATTTTATGCAGTGCTGGGGATCAAATCCAAGCCCTCACACACACTGAGCAGGCCCTGTACCACTGAGCTTCATCTAGCCCAGGAAATCCTTTTGGAATCTTGAAGTCAGATTGTACCACTGGCACTCCTCAGAACACTCTAAAGGCTTTGTATTCATCTCCAAGGACCTTACTTTGACCTTCAGGTCTTGCCTGTACCTTAGTCACTTGTTTGTTTCTGGGACACAATGCCATACACAAAATTTAAAGAAGGAGAGGTTTATTTTGGCTCCTAGTTTCCATGAATTTCAGCACAGTTGGCTGGCTGCAAAGCCAGGCATCATGGTAGAGGTGCATGGCAGTCAGCAAACAGAGAGAGATCTAGAGAGGCTGGAGGGAGATATGCCCTTCCAGACCACGCCCCCAGGAATCCGCTTCCTCCAATCAGACTTCACTTCCCAATATTGCGTTCAACTTGATCCAATCACTCACCTCAGACCACACCTAGGAGCATGAGGCTTCTTGGGGAGACATCTAGTTATAAACCATAACAATCTCCCTGCTCCCATGGCCTCATCTCTTACACACTACCGTAGCTCAGTCCATTCCACTCTCATGACTTTTTGATTCCCACTTCAGGACTTTCGTACTTGGTCTTTTGTCTTCCTGCAAAACTTTTCTACCAAATAGCTATGTGATTTGCTCATGTTTTTCCAGGCTGTGCTCATTTTTTCCAACCTTACACAGCATTTCCTTGTCACTCTGTATTCCCTTGATTTGCTTTAATTGTTTTGTTTTGTTTTTGAGACAGGGTCCCACAAGCTAGTTCAGGCTGGCCTTGGGCTCACTTTGTAGCCCAGGCTGGTCTCACATTTGCAAAGATCCTCCTGCCATAGTTTTGAGTGCTGGGACTACAGGCATGTGCCACCATGCCTGGCTTTTGTTTTTCTTTATACCACTTTACTACTGCCTCATAAGCTATATTTTATGTGATCATTATCATCTTGTATCTATCTTAGAATATACATCCTATGAGAAACTTGAGCTCTTTTGTTTTTTGCTAACTATCTAAATTTCTAGAGTAGAACAAGTACATAGCAGGTACTCAATAGAGTGTTGTCAACTTACTGATTGATTAATAATGAATGAGCTTTGCTATTTTGGATGAAGATTTTTGTTTTTGTTTTTGTCTTGTTTTTCAGTACTGAGGACAGATCTCGGGGTTTTTGAATTCCTACCCCTTCTCACTTTTCATTTTGAGGCAGGGTCTCGCTCAGTCATTCAGTTTCCTAGGCTGGGCTCAAATTGCAATTCTCTTTCCTCAGCCCCCCAGATTGTTCAAATTACAGGCGTGTACCACTCACTAGTCCTGCTTTGTGAAGTATTTTTAATTGAGTTTCTGCCACTTGCAGCCAGAGTGTTCTGATGCAGTATTCAATTAAGTTTTGCTTTAGAAGTAGACAAGTGAATACTTTAGCTTTGGTTGGGTCGTAAGTAGCATCTTCATAGAAGAACAGTACCTGACACCTGACTGTCCCTGTTGAATCACAAGATACTTCCACACATAAAGCCCCATTAGATCCTACTGGCGTTTTCCTAGATATCCAGGCCAAATGTGCCCCCTCCCATATGACAGGAAAAGCTCTTGTAGTGTGGGAGAGATTAGCAACAGAACTGGGACTAGAGCCCATGGTTTCCTATCCCTAGTCCACAGCTCTTTGCACATCTCAGATTTGCTTTCTCTCCCTAATCCTGCAACTTCACAGGGTGGCACTCACTACAGCCCTGGGGGAATGCTATAAAATTGTGTTCCATATGGTCTCTATTTATCTAACATTTTCAATTCCCTCTTCTGTGAAAGTCAACAAAATTCTGAATTTTTCCCACATGAGACTGTGGGCTCTTTGGGAAAAAGAAAGGCAAGCATATGGCTTTTAGGAAATCGACTCTGCTTGATGAGATAAAAATTTTCCTTCTGTTAACCAGCCCAAGGCATGGCTGTCTTTGCAGGTGCCTTTTCCATCTCGGGGCCACAGATGACAGACATACATGTGCTCCTCCTTGAGTGGCCCTAATGCACTGTGAAAGACCTCCTGAGCCCCTCTCCTCCAGAGATGCTTTCTCTTTCCCCAGCTATTCCCCATGGATGACATTAGCTCCCTTTTAAATTCCTTTCCCTTCACTGCACACTCTGATGCTACTCTCCAACCCCCAGTGGACATGCACAGACTTATTTGGTTTCATGTGTAATAGATAAAACAGCAGGGGCTTCTAATCGGAAAACGTTTTCCTGGCTACAAAAGCCAGCAGAAAACCACAAAGCTGCCAATATGGTTCAGAGTTTATTAATAAACACTTGGCACAAGTTTGGCATATGACACGTCCCTGTCCCCAGGGAAAAGGAGAAGGGACTTGAATATGGATATAGACATAGCCCACAGCAGCAGTGGCCAAATACAATGCCCTTTCCGGGAACTTCGCCCTTCCTGAGGTCAGGAGACAAGCAGGTGGAGACTTTGGAAAAGGGGACAGTATCAAAGGGTGCGGAGGTTCTCTTGCTAATCCTAAACCTGTAGCAACTCTGCTCCAACAGGCACACTGCGATGGTCTGGTTTGTTTATTGTTTTCTTTTTTTTGGAAACCAAGAAAATCTTTCAACAGATGGCTTGTTGATATTACATTACAGTGAACAACAAGAATCCTCGTATCTGCATTCCCAAACTTTCTAACCACCCCATGATATGTAGTTTTTGGAAGAGGAAAACAAATGAAAATTTTCATTTTCATATAATCATAAGCTGTCATATGTAAGCAGGGTACAGTTAATGAAGATTTTCTTGAATCTCACAGACTCCATTCTCTACTCCAGTATGGTTGGGTCACTCAAAGGAAGGAAACATGATCCACATCTGTATTTAGGAGCGTTTTCTAAACACCTACCTCTCACCCTCCCACACATACACCAGTAGTACTGGAGACTGAACCCAGACCTTTGCACTGAGCTTTATCTCCAGGCCTTTTTGAAAAAATTCTTTACTTTGAATCAGGGTCTCAGTAAGTAGCTAAGTTTCCCAGGCTGGGCTGGAACTTGGAATTGTCCGGCCTTAACCTCCCACGGAGCCTGAACCACCACACCATCTCATTTTGTTGTCTCCAATGAAAAATTTAACTCTTCTCTTAGTGCAGTAATTCCATTTGGTCTTATTACTTTTATACAAAGGAGGTAATCTTTGCACATTTATGTAGATAAATAGGAGAATATTTCACAAGTGTTTCTCCTTTATTCACAATAGAATAAAGGAGCAAGATGATCTCTTATGAGTCACACTAGCATCTTGAGTAAGACTCTGAATTCTCAGTTCCTGGAGTATGAAGACATTTTATACGGCCCCTAGCTCCTGGGTCTTGGAGGAATTTGAAAGAGAGAAAAGCAGTAACTACCTGTATTATTTAATGGCTTATGTATCATAGCCTAGATACAAAACAGATATTAAACAGTATAACAGTATAACAAAACAGTATTAACTACAATCTCAAAAGGAAAAAAAGAAGCCAAATCCTTTCATCCCACGATGGGTAAAAAGGAAGGATTCTAGGAGCGTGGGAGTAGGAAAAAAGGTGTTGCTCCAACCAGAAAAAAAAAAGGTTGACATAACTATTGGGAGGTCAGCCTCAACTGCGCTGTCCCCAGACAGGCACAGAACCCGGGGCAAAATCTGGCTCACCCCTCTGAGGTCCTCAGGCTGACTGGTGCTGCGGTGCCACAGCCTGGGGAGACTGGGGAGAACCAGAGCCCCCAACTTCAGGGGTAAAAAGGTTATTTGAGCAACAACGCAGCAAGGGAGAGTAATCCTCCTTTGAAACAGCAGGCTGCACTGTCTTGCAAGGACTTGACGCATGCGCAGACTCCTCTTTTGCAAAGGCGGTGAAGGGTCTCTTTAGAAACGCCTTCCACTTGCTAGTGTTCCTACCCACTCACCATTCGACTACAGTGAAGCTGCAAGCAGTCCCAGCCGTCTTCTAATTTGGACAGGACCCCCAAACACACACAGGACCAAATGGATGACCCCTAAGGCAGGGAAGGCCTCTTTTCCTCTGGACTAATGATTCACCTGTGAGGTCCTTTCCCAACTCTGCAGCAATCGGCAGAGAGACCTCCTTGGGAAACTTTACCGTCCATCTGCCTGTCCCTCCTGCACCTCCCTCACCTCTTCTCCTTCCACCACGCCCTCACCGGCCTCCTCTCTGGTCTTCCTCAGGGCCATCCCCTACCGGGACTACTGCCCTCCCTGTACTCACCTGTCTCCCCCAACTCTTTAGGGCTTTACTGAGAGCCACAGCCTCTGCGAAACCTTTGTGGCCACCTTGGCTAAAAGGTGGGACCAGCTTGAACAACCCCTTTCCTACCTCATTTTTTTTCTGATTCCTTGCCTTTGTCTAAGTACTTAGATTTTACTTATTCATGTTGTTTTATTATCTGTCTTCCCACCAGAATATGAGTTCAACACAGGCAGGGATTCTTCCACGGGAGCTGGGAGAACATGCAGCCTGAGGCAAACAGGTAGTCGATAAACAGCCATTGCAAAAATCACCGAACACACTAAAACAAAGGTTGGTTTTGCTATTGTCTCGAGAAAGCCAAATGGGTGACTATCATAAAAAAGTGTGTTAAATGAATAAATGCAAAGCAAGAAGAATGGATGGCTTATCACTGCCATTGGAAAAGGAGAGATTTCTTCCTGCTGTTCCACCAAATCTCACTCCCACCTTCACTGCGGCCTCTGTCCTCTGCCAGACCAGAGCCTGTTTCCCTGAGCACTCAGGTGTCTTGCCATCCGGCTCCTGCACCTGCGATGTCATTTTTCTACCTTGTTGTGAGCTGAGATCCTGCTTGTCTCGTAAGGACCAGCCCAGGTACCACTGCTCCAAGCTGCAGGCCTTTTTGTTACAGAAAATGTACCCAAGACGGAAAGAAAAACACCGAGGAGATTCAGGAGGCAGTTTATTACACCAGTGGGCTTGACTAGGATCTCTCCCAAAGAGCCAGAGCCCTGCCAGGCAGAGTTCTGGGGGCTTTTATGGGGAGAGCAAAAAGGGAGGCACAAAGGTAGATCTGGCGCAGTATGATTGGAAGGTTGGGTGACATCTTAGGTTGCTAAGGGGGTTTAAACATTTTAGGTTACATTGCAAGGCCATCAGCTATGCCAAGCACAAGCTATACAAAGGGAGAAATGTCCTGTTCCATTGCAAGTTACATCTTAAGGCCATCTGTTAGACAAGCTTACACGAAGGAAGGAATGTCCTGCTATCAGGCTTCTGGACAAGGACATGTCTGCCTGGTCTTGGTGACATCCTTGGTCAGGCTTATTTAAAATTCTAATTTCACTTTCCTGTTGATCTCCCCTTAATTCCGCCTGAACTGTGTGGCTCTTCTCATGGGCACCACCGTCCTAGGTGCCTGCTCACTCCCCTCACCAGTCTGAGAGCCCATGGAGACCACGAATCTGTGCATACTGTCCACAGCCTCCACCACCCTGGCCCACAGATGGCTGCGGTTAGACAAGGTGGGTGGAGAAGTGCTCGGGGCCCACGGGAGATGGTGTGGATGAGTAGAGGAGGTCAGGAGCATTCTGTACTCAGATGGTCAGAGTATTCCAGACTCTGAGAACTGCTGCCATAGCTGCAGAACAAAGTGTTCACACTGGAGATGCTGGAGGGAGCAAAGGTCCTGCAGTCAGAGAGGCAGGGCTCATTTCCTGCCTGTCCCTTTGGACCACTTATTTAACTTCTCCACGTCTTGATTTCCTTTCTCTTTTTTTTTTTTTACAAAAATGTCCACTCCAGAAATATATTGTATACTAAAAGAGTCTCATGTCTAAAGGAAGGAAAGTATAAACCAAAAAACCTTCTGCAAATATAGATACACAAATGTTCTAATTTCTGACCTTGAAATCAGTTGCATTTCAGGTGTGGCCAGTGGATGGCAGTAGCAGGCAGGGACTTTCTCTCAGTCTTTTGAAGTAAAGGGGGCGGAAGAGGATGGTGGAGGGCCTGGGCTGCTCCGCGGTCTGCCCAGCTCACCTGATGGTGAAGAGACTCCCTTCTCTCCTGGTGTGGGATCTGGTCGAGGCTGAGCTGCACCTTAGAAGCCTCCCCTGGAGAGATTTTTCCAGATTTTATTCTCTCCTCACCATTGCAATACAGTCCTGCATTTTCAGTCTGCAGTCCAAGCTTTTCATTGGTGACCTTCCTTCACCTTCACCACAGACTTTTGGACTAAAATAAGCAAGTGAGGAGCCCCCCCCCCCCCGCCCCGCCCCACTGTCTGAGCTGTGCGGACACCCAGAGAAGTTACTGTGGAAATCACACAGAAAGTAGGAAAAATTAAGACTTCACCCTTTAATGGTACCTAATTCTATCATGCCACCTTTCGGTCACTTTCTCTGTGCAGGGCTCACACTACCAGCGTTTTGGGGGCTCTGCACTCCACTGGAGAGGTGCCCAGACTTCTAGCCCTTTAGGGCACTGGGAGCTGTTCCCTTGCCCCCAGGAGATGTCCCCCACTTCCTTTTCCTCAGGTCGGGCCTCAGCGCACCTTCCTCTACTCAGCTAGGGGGCACCATCTCCTTAGTGTGCTGCTCCCAAGCTAGTTTGGTCCCCACGTCCCCTCTATCCCTGTCCTAGATCACAAACCCACAGGCTCTCTTGGCTTTACCCACACAGAGCTGGGCACGGAACCCAGAGCTTCACACACTAAGCAAGTGCTCTGTCATGAGCCTCAGCCCGGCCTGTAACTTTCTAACTTCTTGGCTGTCTGAGATCTGTGACTTCCTTGCAGAGGGAATTCAGGACTGAGCAACTGGAGCACTCTGAAGGTTCTCAGTTTTAGCCTCTGCTTATTGTCTCGGTCCTCCTTATCTGTGGTTTTGCTTTCCAGTTGTGGTTACCTGAGGTCAACTATGGTTCAAATGGAAAATGTGGTCTAAATGGAAAATTTTAGAAATAAACATTTCATAAGTTTTACATACCCTTCATTACAGTATACTGTCATGATTATTTTATTAGTAGTGATTGTTGATCTCTTACTGTGCCTGATTTATAAATACACACACACACACAGGACTGAAGGATGGGACTCCCCTCCCCATGAGGAGGTGACCATAGGGCTATCAGAAATGCAAGGGACAGCAGGAAAGTATGCTGCCGTTTGTTGAGAGTGATGGATCAGACCTTGTGCTGGACTCCAGATATATATCACCTTACTTGACTCTCATCATAAGCTTAAGAATAAAGCATTTGTCTTCTTTGACAAGTGTGGAAACCGAGGCTGAAGAACATGAAAGTGTCCCTACATCCACATATGTAGTTTGTGGTGGGGCTGAGGCCGTTGGGCTCAAAGCTCGTTTCTCTATAATCATGTGATTGCACGGTTCAGGAGAGGTGAACTGTCCTTCTCTCAGGGGCATTTACCTACTGGGGACTTCCAGGCAATCTTCTCTTAGAACTCTTGTGTCACCCAGGAACTGTCACTACAGGCTGATCCTGTCCTCTCTGCTGTGTGGTGGCAGACACAGCAGAGAGGACAGAGGAAAAGAAAAGAAAACTGTGTGCCTCAGACACAAGTCCACTCAGAGGGGAACGGGCTCTTCAGAGAGGAGCATTCCAACTGGGAGTCATGGCGGCTCATTATAAGATACTGCTGTTGTGAGGGTGTGAAAGCATTTTTAGATTTACTGCAAGTGAAGACACTGAAAGGCGGAGAGAACCAAATATCACTATGTCTGCAGGCTCAGAGGAAGGAGCTACGCTCCAAAATCTGAGCCTGAGACTTTCTTGGGGGAAGTCTTATGTAGAGGATTTAGGTGGAATGGCGTGGGCTGAGTTCCAGAGGCAGAACGGGGTGCAGTTAAGCACAGAGGGTTTGAGCCAGGCAGTCTAAGCAGGATACCAGAAGTGGCGTGAGACTGTTGCTTTGTGCAAGCTATCTAATTTGGTCTTCGATTTTGGCTTCCCAAAGTTTTGTTTTCCTCATCAAGGGGACTGAACACAGTGCCTGGCAATGCCAGTTCCAATGCCAATGGAACCCGATGGGCTGCAGCTGGGCTAATGTGACCAATGAGATACAACCACACTGACTTATCAACAGGACCTGGCCACAAACTGACGTGGTGTGGCCTCTCTGGTTAGCTAGCATGGTGAGGCAGGGCTTGTGATCACCTGGGGAGAGGGGCAGGAGAGGTGGAGGAGGCAAAGACAAGCTGAGGAGGTCTCAGGAGGAAGCAGGAGGGCCCGAATTGGAGCACAGGAGTATACGCTACGCACAGGATGACTATGCAGCAGAACCTCTTTGGACTCAGGATCCTCAACTGAACGGTGGTGAGGAGGTCAGATTTCCTGTTAATTCTTTCTCTTCCTAAATCCTGCAATTCAAGAAATTCAGCTGGCTGTGATCTACTTACCTGACACAGGGGGAGGGAAGTGGAGTCTGGACCCTCACTATTCCACTCATCCTCCAAGCAAGCGAAACTCACTGTGAGCCAGCTCTGAGAGGGCTCTGCTTCCTCCTGCGCTTCTTGTTTTTGTTTTTGTACTGGGAACCGAACTCATGACCTCGTGCTTGCCAGGCAGGTGCTGTGCTCTGAGCTGTCTCCTGGCCCTCCTCTTCTGCTTCTTATTCTCTTCCTGTTATTCTATCTCTCAGGAACTTCAGTTACAGGAAGAAGAGTCAACAGATGGAGAGAGGTGAGATAGTAACGGGAGAGACTGGAATGGCCCATGGACCAGATTCTCTGAAATGCACGCACCCACAGGTGGGAGCTGTCTCCACCCTCCGTACTGGCAGCTGCTACTAAACAGGGTGGGAGGCACTTAGAATGAAAACGAATTTAATGGAAAAACCACATGTATCAAAGCAGAAATGTCAGCGTAGCAGCAATAACCAAGGACAATGGAAAAACAGCTATCACCCCTCCACCATGCAGGGACTGCCCCTCCGCCTTCCCAACAAAACACACACCCCCACACGCACTCTTTTGAGAAATATAGTGATTTTATATGATTTTCTGAAAAGGCAACCAGAGTGTACGGAGTACAGAGGCAAACGTGCTTCTATGCAATGGGCACTACCTTAAGCTATGGCGGCTTGAACCAGCAGAAAGAAGTCAAACTCTAAAATCAGGCACAAAGTTTTCTTTCACAAGAAGAACTTACATTTATAAAGGAAATAGTTACTTGTAAAAAGTGCCACCCTTTCCTGTGCCAGGAAGAGGACTCTCAGCTTCCATCACCTGACTTCATGTCTCCGACTAAAACACCCTTGCACACCTCTCTTCCCTGGCATCCCATGACTTGTCTTCCCCACCCCAAATCCCTACCCCTCTTCATTTTTGCTGAGCCTAAGAACAAGCCCAAATTTGACCCATCTTTTTTGATTACTCATCCGGGGGTGGCGCCATGTGTCATAATGTACATCTTCATGAACTTTCGTGTGCGTGTGCGTGTGCGTGTGTGTGTGTGTGTGTGTGCGTGTGTTGTTGTTAATTTGTCCTTTTGGAATAGAACAACAGGTCTAGAAAACCTAAACTGAGTATAGAAAAAGGATACGCTTTTCTTCCCTTCATACAATTGTGCTTAGTTTGTTTTTCTTGCATTTCACAGTTTATCCAAACATGATTTACCTTCTTTTTTCTTAGACATTTAAATCATGTCTGAGTTTCACTTAATACTGCAGTGTGTGAACTTAAAGCCAAATCTTATTTCAGACCTTTCACGGTTCCCTTATGAAAAAAATTATTGTGGGCTTGATGGATAGAAATAAATTTATTTCTGATGCTTCTGATTTACACGGACAGGTTGTTCACTAGAACCTGGGTTATTTGCATTTTTACTGGCCTACTACAAGTGTATGTTTTTATCATCATTAACAGTAACTGTTTTTATTTTTAAATGAAAATTGTATCTATGTTAAAATGGACATGTCTTTATTAATACGCTAATTATGTTTCCATAGGCTTGTTACTTAGTTGTACATTTTATGAATTGTTCTGTTAGGACCTTGACTCATTTTAATATGAAGGTATCTTTCTTGTCTTTCTGTATTTACAAGAAAACATTGATTTTTTTTAGGGATGTTAACTTTGACATGTATCTTGTAAGTAATTTGTCTCTTTCAGTACTTGATATTTAAATTTTTAAATAATTTTTTTAGACACAGAAGTCTTTGTTGTAAGCAGCAAGCCTATCAGTCCCTTTCTTTGTCCTGGTTTCTGCCACTGATGCCATGCTTATCCTTCAGAATTGAACTAGATGTGAGAGGAAGAGTTAATGTCTCAAGAAGAGCAGGCCAGGCTGGTGGCATATACCTATGATGCCAGCACTCAGGAGGCTGAGGCAGGAGCATGCCATAAGTTCTAGGCCAGTCTGGGCTAAACAGTAAGACCCTGTCTCAAAAGACAAAACAAACAAAAATTTGCTTTATACTTGCTCTGTGAGAGTGTAAAACTATCTGCACATTGATGGGAAGAGACGGCAACCTCTTAAAAGCTACAGAGGTTAGAGGATACCATTCACATGGCTGGCTTTGGAGAGGTGGCTGGTGAATTGGCTACTCAGAAGTAGGAAAACCACATGCTAATAATGTCTCAGAGCCCACCAATACTATAGAAAAATGTGTGCCATAAGCATCCTCTATTTTTAAAAAAATTTTATTAAAAAAAATGTGTTCTTTACCAAAATTTCCAACTTCACAGAAGTTGACACAGTAAAAAGGGAAGTTTGCATTTAGACTTTCAGTCTAAATCCTGAAAGATAAGCATTATAAAAAGTTCAACATGAGTGAGTGGACTTTTTCCACGCATACATTAGTAATAATATAGTGTAGTATAGCACATTATATTATAATATAGTACAATGTCATATCATATCTATATGAAAAGGGGTAATATTGTTTTGCAATTTGCTCTTTTCACATGATTTTCCAAGATGTCTTTCCATATCTTAAAGTCTGCTTCATTCTATTTTGACTGTCATGCAATATTTAACAATTTGAGTGTATTATATTTTATACAAAATCATTTGGGCAGGATAGGGTTATTAAAATGACTGTACAAAAATATGTATTTTTAAAAAGTTAATAGAAATTACCAAATTCCATCACTTAAAATATATCAATTAGATTTTGCTAATATTGTGTGAAGCAACTTATTTATTCCCACATTATGTCAATAATGTAAAATATATTTTTTTATAATTTTGTGGTAAAATGATATTTTGTAACTTGGATATCTATATTTTTTGGTGAATTAGAGTTTTTTAATATGTCTGATATTTTTTATGTGAAGTATTTCTTCTGTAAACTGATAATTTATATCTTTTGCCCATTTAAAAAACCTTTTTTTCTTATGTGTTAATGAAAGATATAATGGACAAAATTAAAAAATGATATAGACAAATACATTTGCAATATATATGAAAATTGTATAATTTTACATTTTTTAGGTATCCATAATTGTAGGCATGACTGCCCATGTTTTCTGTATTACTTCTGGATTGTGTTGTCTACGTAGGCTGGTCTTCCATACTCAGAGATATAAAAATATCTTTCTAGGTTGTGTTTTAGGCATTATTACAGGACGTTTTTAACACTGAAAAATTTATGCCAATTGTACTCTGTTGTCATGTATGTTGTTAATGGTTTATCACTCAACCATTTAGTTAGGCTTCCTGTCACAAGATGATGGAAAATTCAGTGCTTTGTCTTAATCTCATTTCCTGATAATTTTCTGAAAGATAATCTCCATATGTGTAACTGATATTGGCCAAAAAAAAAAAAAAAAAAACCTCTCCAGAACTTTAAAGGTGTTTACTCACTGTGTCCTAAACAGCAGAGGAATGAAAATTTACCTTCGCAGTCTGTCGCTGTTTGCCCTTTGAGAGGGTCCTGCCTTGGCATCACGGTCCCTCCCTGTGTCACAGATGTCTCTTCTCTCGCTCTGCAGGGTCTCTCTCATTCTGTTCTTCCTTACAGTGCCCCTGTCTTCACCATCCATCGTGTAACACCTTAGACATTTTTTAAGCTGGTTGTACAGTAGTATTCAAAGTCTCCATGACTTTTACTTGTTTGGCAGCAAGTTTTTAGTCACCTGTGAATTTCAAAAAGTTGCAAAATGTATGTTAAACAGAAGATCTGGAGATTGTAAGCATTCACAGCTGATACTCAATGTACATTTCTTTTTTTGTGGGTACATAAACAATTTTAGGGCATAAAAAATACCTCTGGGGAAAAAGAAACCCATTTCCTAATCATTTCATGTATACATGTTTCTAAACATTTACCATCATGCAACAAATATTTGTATTCTGCTGTTTGCTTGTGTGCATTTGTCCATCTTTCTATGTGGTCCTGTTACAGGTGAAATAACCGAGTGGCTGGGTTGTGACATTAAATTTGGCTCTTCATTTACTAAAAGATGGCCCTGTTAGACTTACTTACCTTTCAGTTCCTTTTCTCTTCAGTGAGGTCATAAAACCCACCTCTCCTCATTCTTTGTTTTGGTGAGACTTAAACAGTGATAAGGAAAGCACACCTGCTTTGGCAAGCAGCCTGAGCAGTGTCTCTTTGTTGAGTGTGTGCGAGTGTTCTGCCCGTTAAGGGAGCAAAGAGACACGTGGTTCTTTCCTCAGGGGTGGGTTCCACCAGCCTCTTGTCAGTTCCTTTTGCAAGAAGAGCTCAGAATCATCACAAGGAAACGAATCCCAAAGATGAACCTGCCATATAAAAGCTTAGCCAGTTTCTTTCTGCTTTTCAGCTTTTCTGCTAAGGGTAAGTTGGTGTGTGGGTCTTCACCGTCACGATAAGACGCTTTTTTGGACATCCTGAAATGAGCACAGGATTTAAAAGTGTTCACAGCCCAGAATTTTCTGGCAGAGTCTCAAGACCCCAATAACTGGTTCGTTTTTCACAGGTTCAACCGTTGAAGACGTTAATGTCGCCTGGGGTGCCTTGGGTCAGGATGTAAACCTGGATATTCCCAACTTTAAAATGAGTGATGTTATCGACGAGATACGATGGGAAACAGCAGGGAGCAGAGTAGCACAATTCAAAGGCAAGCAACTGTATGCGATAAACAAAACGTACAAAATATTACCAACTGGAACTCTGCAAATTAAACATCTGGAGAGAAGTTTTAACAATACCTACAAAGTAATCATATATAATACAAATGGAACATGTGTGTTGGCTAAAGAATTTCATTTGAGGATTCAAGGTAAGCCTTCCCAACATTTCTTCATCTCCATGTGAGTGCTATTTGGCAAGTTGAGAAATAGCATTTTTGAAATGTTCCCAGCCCTGGCCTCTGCCTCTGGAGTAGCTTTAAAGCAAATTCAATGTATCCTTTCAAACCCATGGAGACACAAGTCTTGCGTGTCTGTGGGGTGGGTGGATGGGTTCATATCGGAGGAAATGCCCAGCTAGTAAAGCCTCAAGCCTATCTGCTTACAGCTGTCTCTTTAGGTGGCTGCAGGGTGGTGGGGCTGAATGGGGGTCCTGGATTAAGATGGCATTAATCCAGGAGGGAATGGGTGGGGAGAGGAAAAGATGGTGTCCCAAGTGTGTGATGAAGGTGTGAACAAGATGTGAACGAGGAGGGAGAGGCGGCCTGGAGTGCAGGTAGTCTTTGTCTAGAGAGCCAATTTCAAACCAGGGTTCTGTGGCAGGAAAGGGCTGGCAACAATGACAGTAAGAATGAACAGTCTTTGTTTCTGATCTGCTCGACAGCATAGCAATTGAGGTAGAAAGTGATTTTTATTGGTGTGGCTTTGACTGTCTTCACATAGTCTGAGAGGCTAAGGGTGGATGTTGAGATGGAGGTGGGAGACCAGCTCCAAGCTGCCATTGTACCCCAGGCAAAGCCAGGAAGAGCCAGCAGGTGGTTCTAAACTTGGGTTTCAGATGTGAATAACAGGGATGCTGTTAGAAGTCACCAGTGCCCAGGCCCCATCATAGACCAATTATATTGAAATGTCAGGGCGTGGAAGCCCACACATGAATGGTTCTTAAAGGTTCCCAGTGGTTCCAGTGAGCAGCCAGTGCACTGTGACATGAGGAGGGATGTCTACCTGGGGTTGTGTGCAGGCAAGGGAAGGACAAGGTGTCTTGTGTGAAGGTGCAAAGGAGACAAAGCGGGACAGCGGCAATGCCACTGGAGTTTGAAGCCTAGGGAGCCTGGACGGGGAGGAGAGAAAGCTGCCCTTGGCATGGTGAGGCAGCCAGGCATCTCAGCACGGGCACAGGCCAGCGATTTACAGAGCAAATGAGCACCTTCTGTGCTTCACACAGGAAATGTCACTAGAGGCTGGGCAGGGGCCCTCCTCCTACCCAGGGTCTCCTGCCTGGTCCCCAGAAGCCACAGGTGACACCTGAGCCCCTTTCACACAGTCCAGACACTGTCAGCTCATCGCAAGTGGCCCCTTTCCTACCTTAGAACCACAACATTAGAACTGGAGAGTGTTCTCCAGAAGTGGTGTGGGAGCCAAAATGGCTCTGCCGGCAGCTGCCAGTGCAACTCCTACATGCACATTTCAGGAGTCCCATTTCAAAAGTGAGCATCACGCAGGGCGCCATCCTGTTGGGCTCACATTTGTGTCACATGTAGTGCTGTGGGGTGATAATAATTACCAGTGAGGTGGCAAGGGCTTGTTACTATGATAGTATGTAAATCCCCCAACGATGCTGAGCGCTGGTATTTATCGTTCTCTCATACGTGTAAGGAAATAGTCCTACTCAGAGGTTCCTCACCCCGCTTCTCACCGCTTGACAGCAGCAAAATCAGGATTCAAACCCAGGACTTCTTTCACAAAAACAGTAGCATTCATCACTCTCCAAGCAGCTTCTCTGTGATATGACTCACACACCACACAATGCATACATTTAAAGTATAAAATGTGTATCTGTGTGTTCAGAGTTGAGCCTTTATCATCATAGTGTTGGATATTTTCAGGACTCCAGCAGAAACCTTGTACCCATTAGTCAAAAGTCAGTGTTGCTGTTGTGTGCACATCAACATCACACAGCACTTTTAGTTATAACCTGGTCACCATTACTTGTCACATGGACGTGGCCAACTCCTGCCTGCTATAAATCTATTTTCCCAATGCAGGTTAAGTATCCCCTATCTAACATGTTTGGGACTAGATATATTTCAGAAATTGGATTTTTGGATTGGGATACTCACCTGTCATAACTTCAAGGAATGTTCTGTGAGACCATGTATGCCAAAGTGCCCCAGAGTCCCTGGGACACACACCTGGTTGCTCACTGCTAATGCCCTCAACTGTTTCCCGTGGTTCTCACAGCTTTAGCCGTGGGGTCACAGTGCTCTGATGAGGCAGTGCCCTATTAGCTGCACAGGCAGTGGAAGTCTCCTTAAAAGCGGCAGAGAAAGATTTAATCCTAGCCGCCAGAATTAAGGAGTTCTCATTTAGAAGAAGGATTTTCTCCTATTGATCAGGTCACGCCACTTATGAAAGCTGTCTTGCGGTAAGGAGAAGTGCAAAGCCATTACTACATGAGGTTCATCACTATATTGTTGATAAAAAAAAGAGTAAATAAGATGCAAAATGTACAGTAAGATGCAAAATTGTGAAAATGAAAGGGAATGGAAGTGCCCAAAAGGAGAAAACACCTGGGACGGGGAAAGGAGAAAAGAAAGAAAGGAAAGATTATGTAAACACATATGTATACATATACCTGCGTGTTTGAAAATTTACACAAGGCAGATAACTGTATTACTAATTTCTGTTAGCTCATCAAAAAGAGCAGTTTGTGTTTTCATTGTCTGATTATTTCATCATTTTTTCATGCTTAAATCTTGTAATCTGAGCAACTACTTTCAAGATAATCATATGCAATATATTAACTAGGTTAATTTCCAATTTCTGAAATTCTGTATCATTTTTGCCCTTTTTTGTTTTTAAAATATGTTGTTTACACTAGTAAAACACAGAAATGGATTAAGAAATCTCTAGCAGAGAAACAGTAAATGAAGAATGTATCATTTAAAAAGATAATAGAAATGCGCATTTATTGATACTCATAAAAGAAAGAACTTTGTAATTTAACATAGTTTTATAGCAAGGAGAAAAAAGTAGGCCATAAGATCACCTAATATAGTTTTACTTTTAGCATATTATATCATTAATACATATGTCTATGCATAGACAATATCTAGTAAGGATATATATAAAAATATTAATAATTATTGACACTAGTGATTGCTGGTGATTTCTAACTTGCTTTAAATATTTTTCATACTTATAAATGTTTACGATAATTGGACTTTGTTACAAGGTTTTTTTTCTATTATGAAGACAGATAAAGACTGACCTGACCCCTAGACCAAATACTACTGTTTTCTGAGTTGATTTGTTTTTCATATTCTTCATCCTAGATTCACACAATTTCACAGAATTTCCAGATGAGTAGTAAACTTTATATATGCGTGCCCGTGTTTTAGAAGAGATAGAATGTGACTGGGATAGCCTATGGGGGAGGATATTGAAATCCAGACAGGGAGGGTATCATGGAAAAATAAGAAACCTGCTTAAAGCTTGAAATGCAAAAAGAACAAAAGCAGAGCGATAGGGACCTAGCTAAATACCAAGGTCAGGCTGTTTTCTTTCATGATGCAACTTTTAAATGTTATCATATCAGAAAACGAGAGAGGAGTGGTTTCTGGCCACTAATGTAAGAACCAGCACCAACGATTTGCCCAGGGCTTTGCCACATGTTAGCTCTCTGGCAATCGGTGTAGCATTTTTTTCCTCTTATTCTCCTAAAGATGAGGGCTAGTGAAGCACAGTGAATAACTAAGCAGCGTTGGCTGGAAGAAGCTGGGTCTCTTGTTGCCAGGCTGGTGCCCTTCCTTTTCGGCTCCTTGAGCTCCTGACACACCCACATTCTCACACAACCACCTGGCAGGGGGAGGGGGAGGCAGCTGACGAAGGCCACTCGGAGGAAACAGTTCAGCCAGAGTCCTGCCTCTGGCTGTTGTGAAACATCGCTCTTTTCAATCTTCTTGGGTAAGTGGAGGTCAGAACACAGTGATCCTCTCACCTGCACCCCTGAACTTGGAAGGATAGTCTTCTCTCTTGATCTTCAGTTTTTATAGTGAAAACTCTAAGGTCACTCACTGAACCCTCAGAGCTTTGGATATTCCATCCATAAATGGGGAAAAAAACATCAGCTTCTTGGGTAAAATTAAATAATAGCACAGGAAAGCATTATAAGAGACACAACAGAGCATAAACATTAGATGTGTATATTTTTTACTGCTATAATGTATCTATGAACGTACCAGAAACACCTTTTCTGCAGCATGCAAATAAAGTAAAGTAAAAACAATTTTTGAAAATTGCTAGGAGTTTTTGAAATTGTTCCCTGGTTCCAAACTGAAACTACTCCCCACTGTCTAAATAGGATGTCTATAAAAATAAGAAAATTGCCTAAGAAGAATTGTATCTTTATTTTCTTTTCAGAGATGGTCTCAAAACCACAGATCTTCTGGGACTGTAGCAACAAAACCTTGACCTGTGTGATAGTGAATGGAACTAATCCTATGTTAAACCTGTACCAACGTGGGAAATATCTCACAAAAGGTTCTGGGAAAGTCATCACGTACCGGTGGACAAAATTGACTGAGGCTTTCAATTGCACAGCGAGTAATAAAGTCAGTATAGAATCCGATGCAGTGGTCATCAGCTGCTCAGGTGCGTGGCAGGCATGGGCCAGGAGGTCTCAAATTCACCTCACACACAGCCTACCAGGCCCATAGGCATGGCGACAGGTACCATGATGGTTCCTGGGCCTGCATTCCTCGCCTGGGAGGCAGACTTGGCTTAGTAAAAGAAGTGAAAATGCATCTCTTTCTTCCTGATCCCTCAAGGGAAGCCTTCAGAGAGGCAGCCACCCATTGTAGGAGTCCTCTCTCTGAACATCTTTTCCTCCCTTTGACTTCAGAAAGTTAAAAAGAACTTGAAAGGTGATCATCTGATGGGAATCTCTACTTAATGAAGAGGGAGACTGAGTTGCCCAAGGTCCCTCTTCTGTTAGTGACAAGGACTCTGAGTATCCACCTAAATATGCTGCTTTAGAGGGGAAGGTTTAGAAAGACTGTAGAGACCTGGGGAGACTGTGGGTAGAAGATTGCAGACACAGCAGGGCAACACTTCTGTCACACAGAGGACAGCCTGGCCATGATACTATTTCCAGAAACTCCTAAGACTCGCAGGCTCTCGTTTCCCCATGTGTCCCAGCTTGCCAAGACTCCCAGGAGTAATTTTTATGATGGTGACCTTGCCTTTTTTGGTACTGGGGATCGAACTCATGACCTCATGCTTTCCAGGCAAGTGCTTGAGCTGCTAAGCTAATTTATCCCCAGCCCTCCCAGCAGTCATTTTAGAGATACGACCTGCTATAGTACCCCGCAAGCCATAGGGCTGGACTTCTAAATTGGGTCTCTCCAAATATAGTTGAACAATCTTGACAGAGATAGTTCTCTCTGGGCTTCAGTCTTTTGGTTCAGAAAGAAGGCAGCACATTAGTGAACTATTGGTCTACTTACTTCCAAGCTCTCCGGTGTGAGCCACCAGGCTGCCTCACGGTGTGGTAGTTAGCATCCCAGCCAGCAGCCTAGGAGAGAGAAGAATAAGCACTCATGACACAAGCCATGGCCTTTCTATAACTTCATCTTAGGAGTAACATCGCATCATTCTAAGTTCTATTTATTAGAAGCAAGACTGGGTCAGAGGGAGTGACACCAGGCCTGATCCCAGGAGGCCTCCCGAGTGTCTGCCAGCCACAGACACAGCCCAGCACCCTTCCCCTGCCACCCTCTAACATCCTCCATCACGAAGGCGCAGTGGCGGAAGTTGCGCTCTTTTTGACTTTGTGATCTTTCCCCTTCCAGGCTGCCCTTGATTAGATTTGGCAGATTTAACAGATAGAAATACAGTATGAGTATTTCCAAATGTTACTTACTTGTGCACAAATTATTCATTGTTTATTCGAAGTTCAGATTTAACTAGCTGTCTTTTACTTGGAAATCCTACACTTCATATTTATTTTAATTGGATCCCCCAATATAATAATGTGGGTATATTAAGAAAAGAAAGACAAAAGACCTCAGGAGAAGGTAAAGTTTGAAGACAGGGACCTACATGTCCCTTACTCCATGGTAGAGATCAGGAGCTGATCTTCAGAATGAGGGGCGGGAGGGATATTTTGGAGAAGGTTGAGGAGGCAGGAGCTTCTCTTGAGCGTCCTGGAAGGTATTTGGTCATTTCATTCTAAAAGAGCAAGGCAGAGAGGAGCAATGATCAAATCCTAACCGTTTGACTCCAAGAAGGAGTCAAAACAAAATCCTAGGAGGAAGGACAGGTTGGCTGAGAAGTACCCCATGACACAGCTCACAGGCACACTATCTCCAAGAGGAAGTTTAGAGAAATAGTTGAACTTGGAGAATACATGGGCCTATTTCTGAATGACAAAATCACAGCTGCATCTGAGACAAACAAGAATTTGTACCTGGACCGAGATGACAAAGGACAAGTCTGAGACAGACACTAGGCACTGCCTGCATTCCTGATTGTGCCAGGACAGGGAGGTGGGCACTCTGTCCAAGGACTCCAGGACAAGCCAAGCTGGTGGTCACATGGACTAGGCATGTGTATGACAACTCATCTAGGCCTGTCCCAGCCCAAAACCTGGAAAGTCCTCTGTTCAGTAGGAAATGGGCTCCTGACAGCCCCAGCCACTTGTCCAACCCAGCAGGCCCTAAAGGACCCCAACTTCCTTCTGGACTCAATTTGAATGGTTTAGGATTATATTTGCTTATCCATGGGGCTCTCCTTCATAAGTGAGCATAGAGACGGTGCAGAGCTGACAAAGAAAGGCTTGGGGAAAGAAAGCCTTGATTGGTTTGGTTTCTGAGCCTCTGAAACCAGGGCCCATCCTGGTTTTGTACGTAATCGCCTCTTCCTAGGATTGCTGGCTGGAGAAGTGTTTTAGTGATGCTGGGATTAGCTCCAGCCCGTTTTCCCCAAGTACCAGGCCCCTGACCCCCAGCTCCAGCTGCTTCTCTGTAATTGCTATTGACTCACAAAGGGCAGCAGGCCCAGCACCCCTCCTGGGAAACGGCTACCAAAAACACCTGTGTAAAGAGTGCCAGTAAACACAATACCTCACATTTGTGGCTGTTTTACAGTTTACAAAGCACTTTCGTATTCATTATCTGATTGACTTCCAACAGCCACCCTGTGATGTAGTTTTCATTGTTTCCATTTTATGAAGAAGGAAATAAGCTCAGAGAGGCAGAATGGCTTGCCAAAGGCCACACAGCTCTTACCTAGAAGAGCTGGTCTCCAAGCCTATTTCCCTTAACATGAAAGCTATTATTTTGCCTGTTGCCTTCCAGGGACTGAAAGGTTAGGAACTGAAGGCCCAGGATGCTGTTGTTAACTCCATATACACCTCACCTTCTCTCATGGATTGGGCAAAAGCCTGGAAGAGGGGACTACTGTGAGGACAGAGGGCTGCACAAGTGAAATATTCACCCTGAGTGTTTGGAAACTGCCTAGACAAGAGAGTCAGGAAGGATCCTGGTGCAGGAGTGAAGTGAGAGATGAGAGCTGAAAAACAGAGCAGAAACACTCTGCTTCAAGGAAGCACTCAGGGACAAATACTGGGGGGCTTCAGGCTACTGTTGTTCTTTCTCTGGGCTTGGTCTTTGAACATACAAATTGTACTAGATTATGTCTAAACTCCTCTGGTGATGCTGTCCTGTACAGGGACAAAGGAGTGGGCAGATTTTGGCTCATGAATGATTAGGCATTCAAAGTGTATGGGAGCAGTCTCCCAGGGAGCTTTGGAAGGGGCTTACCCTGGGCCCTGGAGCTCTGCAGGGATTGACACAATTCCCCTCTGTCCAGGAGCTTGGCCTTTGTAAAGATCAAAATTTCCATCAATCTATCAAGCTTTTTTCCTATGCTTAGTGAGAGGACCTGGGGCCTAGACCAGAACAATGAAATGACCTCTCTACTGAAGACACCTCCCGCATCCCATGTCTGTTTCTTTTGCAGTGAAAGACCTGAAATTGTACTTCATTATTGGCGGCAGTGGAAGCATCCTCATAGTCTTTGTGGCACTCATCATTTGCTACATCTGCAAGAGGAAAAAGCAGAATGGTAGGAGGCATGGTAAGCTGCTCCACTTTTGTGTTGCTACAGGCCCCAGCAAATCTCCATGGAAATATCTCGTGGGGAGGGTACCACTAGTCTGCAAGGAAGAAAAGATGAGCAGTTTCAGAATATCAGGTTGAAACCAGAGGTGATGGCTTGTTCCATTTTGTGGCTAGCATGATTTGAAGGAAAAAAAAAAAAAAAAAAAAAAAGCCCCACACAGATGCTCAACACTGACAAGGAGAGAGATTTGAGAACTATATCAAGGTTGGTCTTGGTGGGATCCACCTGATGAGATTCTCTTGGTGTAAGGGTGGTGTGGAGATGTTTAAAAGGGTCACGCATCTCTATGTGGGCAGAAAGGTTTGCCATATTTATGAGTAAACCTGTTGTCCATGGGTGGTGACTGTTCAGGACCAAGCTCCTAAGAACACAGGTCTAACCATGTCAGGCTACGAAATACACATGGGAAAACAATCATTCCAAAGCACAGTCCTGAGGTTATGAGTATAGTTCAGTTTTGCAGTCCTCTCCAAGTATGTGCAAGGTCCTGGGTTCAATCTGTAGCACCACAAACAAATAAAACCTCCAAAACAGGGTGATCGTGTCCCTCTTTCTAGCTGACGTCCAGGAGGGATGTGTTAGGGAGTGTTGATTGCCAGATCCGGCCTGCTTGGCCACCCACCAAGTAGGAAAGGGTTATGCTCAGAGCAGGGAGTACGCTCAGGGAGCCTCTAGGTCATACAAAGCAGAAGACTGCAGGGAATGGGAAACCAGGTGTCTCTGCAGGTGGGATGTGGTGTCAGTCATCCTCTAACCACACCACCAGTGGGCTTCTCGGCTCTGTGCAGTGTCACACAGACAGCAGGCTTAGTTCCTTTGCATGGGTGACCCCTTGGAGTAGACCCAGCAAGACACATACCAGCACTTCCAGCAAAGTCTGAGGACCTACAAAGTGGTGGCCAGGGCACCGGTGTCTTTTGGATTTGGCTTCCTTCCTTCAGAAAACTAGGTTCTCCTTCAGTCACCTCTGTAAGCTGTCACCAGTTTGCCCCAAATGTTACCACCTCACTGCTTCCAGCACATCTTTGTAAAATTAGACTCATTTTTCCTCCAACAGTTGTTTTCACACTCTCCATCTTGGTGCTGAGTCTCAGGCCCTGTGGCTTCCTCACCTTGTCCCACTCAGGCTGTTCTCCACCCCTGGCCTTACTAAACTCCTTTCTCATCACCTAGTGTGATGGGACCACAGATTCTTACAAAGTAGACCTCATATGCCACCCAAGACGAGCAATGGCTGCTCTCACTAGCCTGAAAATATCAACATGATAATTAGTTCATGTGGACTAGGCAGTCTCTTATGCCAGGAACTAATCTCTGTATTTTAGAATCACTATCTCATCTAGCTTTTAGTGATCTTAGGAGACCAAAAACACAAATACAGATATGAAATTCAAATTCAGTGAGGCTATATTATTGTCTTCAAATCTTCTATGGCCAATAGGCAAGACAGGAAGCCCAGGGAGCAAAATTTAAGGAGGGCTTTGCCTTGCTCTTGTAGGAACCTGAGCATGGGCCTCTCTTCACATTTTGCACTCCATGTGTCTTGCTTGCCTCGCCTTCCTCTAAGCCCTCAGTTGAGTGACAGGAGATGAAAATGGATAAAGGCATCCAATGAGCCTGGGGAATTCCTTGGCACAGATGTTAGGTGGCAGCTGCAGGCACTGGGGTGGACGTGCCAGGAACTTGCAATCTTGCTGACCAAGACAGCTGTGCAGAGCCATAGCTAACTTTGTCTGTCCAACTCAGCCTGAGGATTTGACCACTTGGACAGTTATCCATACCTGCTCCCTGAACTCACAGGGCTCCTTATATGTGCCTCTTTGGTGGTCGTGGGCCTTTCTGGAGGCTGACACTGTGATTGGCAGTCCGGATCCATCTCACAGGCTTGATTTTAGACTTTCTGAGAAAAGTGCTTGTGTCTGAGTCATCATTTCCTTAGTAACTTAGTACTTAGTAATAGTTCCTTAGAACTTAGTAATAGTGCCCAATACCTAGAAGCCAAGGAATGAACAGAGGAGGAACAAATGAGCAAAATGTTGGACAATCAGACTAATTAGCAAATGGCCAGCCCCAGATTGCCACATGGGATGGAAGAAAGGCTGCTTACTGTCCCCCATCCGGGAACAGAGAGCAGGGGTCAAATTCCTCTTCATCCCCTCCCTCAGCATAACCTCAGGCACCTTGAGAAAGCAAAGTTGGCACAGATGATGTGTTGTGTTCTTACTTAGAGCACTCAGACTATGATACACTGTCTGACTTCGAGGTTCCATGTTCAAAGCTGCCTAAAGGATTGGCATAGTCACCCTGCAGGCACGGGATATGCTCGGAGAGGAGCTGTGCTTCCTAAGCTGCACAGGCCCATAAAGATCCAGGAGATCATCCCTTGACCCCAAGGAGAATCTGCTCCTTTTGCTGCCTTTGCAGCTGGTGAAGATGGCCTTGGGCCCTGGGGCTGAATAACTCACTTGTTGCCTAGAGGCAGCCAGAGGGGCTCTGTAGCAGCTGGGCTTTGTCACAGTTTTCTGTGTGCCTCTAAAACGACACAGAAAAAACTGCATTATGATTAGACTTGTGTCTGTCATCATGGACAAAGCAGAAAATCCCAGAATGAATAGAGGAGTAAGCTTTCCCTGCAAGCCCAAGAAGTTGGGTCTTGCTGATGAAGTTCTGCAGAACTGATAAATTTCTAATGGCTAAAAAGCCCCTGTGTGTACTCTGGCCTCTTGGCCGAATGTGGGTTGCATGACAACAGAATTGGGTAAATGATAGCTCTACCACAGAGATCCGTTAGTGAGAATACAGTTCCTAATTGCCCCTGTGACTACTCAAACCTACTCAAACAATGGGTTCTAATAATGAGACTTACTCTTGGGGCATAAACTCTAGGACAGTGCAGAGGCAGGGCTCTGGGGTCTACTCTCTGGAGCCCTGCTGTGACCTCCTCCCCATGCCTTCTTCCTTTTGGCTTCCTAAGTTCTCCAAAGCCCGGGGAGCTTGCTCTGCTTTGTGATGAGCATTTCTGTTTCCCCAGTGCTCTCGGAGGAGAGGGACAGCTTCCTTCCCTTAACACCCCCAGAACAGCTAGCAGGGAACCTCACACCTAAGAGGCACTCAGCAGTTTCACAGACCACACTTTGCTAGGTTAAGCTTTGACAGGTCTTCTTGTTGCAGGTGAAGGGCTGGATATGAGCACCCACAGAAAAACCATGGAGGAGGAAGGGCGCCCAAGGCCCTCCCCCATCCAACCTCCATCAACTCAAAATCCATTAGCCTCTCACCCGCCCCCGCCACCTAGCCATCGTTCGCAGGCACCTTGTCATCGTCCCTTGACTCCTGCCCACCACACCCAGCAGCAGCAGCAGCGGTATCAGAAGAGGCCTCCTGCAACAGGCACACAAGTTCGGCAACAGAAAGGCCCTCCCCTCCCCAAACCTCGAGTTCAGCCAAAACCTCCCCGTGGGCCTGCGGAAAACTCCTCATCCCCTGCCTCTAATTAAAAGTGACTGGAACTATCCTTTTTAATAAAAGGCTCTGTGGATTCCTCCACTCCTACATGCAGGTCCACTCTTTCCTCGAGTGATTTCTACACAGGACAGGAGGTCCTCCCAAGCAAGGCTGTGTCCAAGTCACATCAGCACCTTCCAACTCAGCCATGTGATCTAATGCCTGGAATCTTTGGCTTCCTTGTGGATCTCTGTCACATCATGGAGAGCCACAATGTGTGGATTTAGGGGGATGGGTGACAGAACATAAAAGTCTTAGCAATCTTCTTGTCTCCCTCTCAGATGCTACGCAAATGTGATACACCAGCTGGTTAGAGGGCCCGAGCATCCTATAGGTGGTCTATTTGCTCGAGGGACTAGGGTTCTTGTGTTCCCTGGTGGGCTCTGGTCATCCACCCTTGAGTAGGAATGAAATAAAAACTCTAATTTGACCCTGGAGTCTGGTAACTGAAGAAAAAAAGCAGCTCAGTGTCTAAGAGAGGAAGCTGAAGACTGAAAAAGAGGCTCCTAGGTGTGACCACAACATTGGATTTAGTCACCTTAACTCATCTGAGCCACCTAAAGCCTGATTACCATGACCAGAACATGTCCCCATGTCTCAGTTGCCACGCCGGGCAGCAACCTATTTGTAGATTTCTGTGGTGCATTGAAACTCATATGCATACCCTTTAACAAGAGGCACCAGAAAAGCAATCATTAAAACAAAAAAAGAAAGAAAAGCAATCATTTATGACCCACTTCCTTGGCTTTTTGGATGTGGTCATTATGATCTGTGCAGTCATCACTGAAAAGAGGAGAGTACATAAATACTTTGGGCACTGAGGGCCCATCAGACAGCACACAGAAGGGCAGACTAAGAGACGACAACAAAACAACTTGACTCAATCAAATCTTAAGTGTCACAGTAACTAAGCAGTACTTAAAAACCAGACCACCCCAGCTAGCAGTCACACCAGCTGTACTTTGGAAGATGTGTGTATGTGTGGCGGGGGAGACAGTTTCCAGATGAAGTTCTAACAATAGGCTGTAAGAAGGTGCCTGCTTTGAAGAGCTGGTACCAAGTTTGTGGTCCCATTGCCTACCTGCCTTCCTCTTGACTTCTTAGGCTTGTTAACCCTTGTAAAGCCCTGGCAGGAAGCTCTGAGGTATAAACCACAAGCTCAGGACTTCCTGTGAGAGTTTACCCGGCCTCAACTTCTTGTTCCTTAGGATCTGGGCATGTGTTGTTTCAGAACCCAGGTCTGATCATTAAGGGCACTGAGAAATTAGACCCCACAGCCTCCTGACTTTCCAACACAGATCTAATTGAGTAACAAGCATCACAAGATCTGCCCAGAGGAGGAAGGAGGATCCTGGCGCTGCCTTCTCCTCACCCTTCATTGTGGTCCTGAGTGATGAATACCATAGACCCTCCAGCCAGGATAGCTCCTAGGTCCATCCCTTCAGAAAGCTTTCCTGGCCATTCCAGAACTGTACCCTGCCCCTCTTCTTCCTTCGGGTGTGGAATACATGTAGCTGACAACTCTTTAATCCTTGTACAGACTCTGTGCTAGGCAAGAGGAAAGCAGAGGTGGACAATTGTATGTCTACTTTAGAGTGTCTAGGAAGGAGGGGGGAGCCAATTATAGGATGATGTAATAATGCATGATATATACGTTAGAGGGGAGTACTAAATCCCAGAGAAAGAATTTTTTCAATCAGATTTTATTGGTTCATTTTAGATATACATAATGATCACATTCATTGTAGAGAATTTATGCCTGTACATAATATAATTTGATTCTTTTGTACTCTTACGTGACTCTCCCTTCAACTCCTTCTCCTCCTCTCCCCATTTATAGAAGCTTTGTTTCCATATTTTTCTTCTTTAAAGGAAGGATTTCGAATCCACATTGGGTGGTAGGACTAGGGTGACACAGAGGGCTTCTTGGAGGAGGTGACATTGAGCAGAACTGGTGAGGCAGAGGTGCAGAACTCTATGGAAAGAGAACTGCTTGGGGAAGGCTTATGTTTACTACCGGTTTACACAAGTATATTTTTCCTTTTTCAAATACTGAGTTTCATTGATTTTACATGGCACCATTATTGTACATAATATTAAGAAGGAAAGAAAAGAGAAGATGGGCGTGGGGATACAATCCTGAAATTTCAGTACTTTGGAAAGCTGAGGTGGAAGAATCATAAGTTCAAGCCCAGCCTGAGAAACTTAGTGACGTAGCAAAATTCCTATTTCAAAATACAAGGGAGAAGGTGTGGGGATACAGCTCTATATAATGGCATTGGGTTAAATTCTTGCTAGTGCAAAACCAAACCAAACCAAAATGAAAACAAAAATGCTCTCAGTTAAAACAAATGCTAAGAGATAACTAAATTTTGGGGACCACTTCATTTCTTAGATGTAAAAATATGGAGAAAATACATTTTAGAATTAACAAAATGCCTAGTCAATAAGCTTCTTGAGAGCAACTGAGCATCTTTTAATACGGCCAATAGCACTCTATGAAACATATCACTAATCAGGTGGCTCAGTGAGTGGGTACAGTCCTGATGAAGGAAGGGAGTGAGGGTACTCAGCACCCCGTAAGACACACACCCACCTGCTGCCATCTGCACTACGATGAGGACAGCATGGGTCTTGCTAAAGATCTGTGAGATCATCTACCTGGTGACATTGTGTGACACCCATTGATCTTGTCCTGTAACGTAGACTTTCTGAAATTAACAGGAAGGTAGGCCTTCTGGAATCGGGGAAGGACACCAGAAGAAGGGAACCAAAAGTGATGTATAACATATATGTATACCAACTCACCTAAATGTGTGCAATTATTATGCATTGAAAGTATACACCAATAAACTTTTTTAAAAAATAGTCTGTTGAGCTTGTGAAGAACCTGATGTTCAGTAGGTTAGTTGGCTAGAGGATCGTGTGTGTGTGTGTGTGTGTGTGTGTGTGTGTGTGTGTGTGTGTGAGGTGTGGTGGTAGGGATAGAATGCAAAGCTTTGTACATGCAGGACCTACTGATTTACATTCCCAGTTTATTGTCCACATTTCTTAACGTCTCCAGGGAATGAGCATTCAAATATAGGTTTTTTTGGTCCTCAAAGTATTAAGCATCAATGAACATTCACACTTGAGGATTTTATAGATAATGAAACATAATAAAAGATAATGATAGTCCAGTTAACTAATCCTTAGCAGGGAACTTTCCAGAGCAAAAAAGCAAGCCATGTTGGAAAGAAATACACAAATAATTTGTAGGACTGGTATTTCCTACGAGTCATGTGAAGATAGAAAACTTGGTTTCTTTGATATCCTATCTGCCTACCCCAAATGGCAGTTTAACCCTACCTGCTGACAAGCTTAGTTCCAAGAGGTTTCAGTTGTGATCTGGAAGCTCCCTGTTAGTATTCTTGTTTCTCTTCCTCTGTTCACATCTAACACTGTACTGAGATCCTTGGGGATCGCCTGGGCTCCTAGGCTGCAGTCACCATATTTCTCAAGGTCCCCCGTGTGTTTATCACCTCAGAGCCACTATGCCTGCTGTTGACATTGCCAGTACTTGTCACCTGGCTCTTTACCTGTTCAGCCTCTTCTTACACGATTTAGGTAGAAGGTCATCTCTGGAGAGAGACCTTCCTTGACTTCTAAATTCCACCATAACATGATTCTTCTGAGCCCCTTTCATTCTATGCACAGTTCTGTGGTCAAGTACTGAGTAGTAAAAGACCCACTGACACTGGAGCCAGAAAGTTCTGAGTTTCTATATGGGTCAGATTTCCCATCACTGGGAACAAATACTCAATACCTCCAATGGAGTCAACCTAATTTGACTCATGGTTTCAAGGTTTCAGGCTATGACCCACTGGCTCCAAGGAAGGAATATGATAGAAAGGCACACTGAAGCAAAGCTCCTCTATTCAAGGAGGCTGGGAATTAGTGCACAGGGGTAGAGCAGCTCCAGGGGCAGGCATCCAGTGACCCAGGACCCACTTCCTTCCTGTTTCCTAGCAACACATTCCGCTACATCCCCATGATCTAATTATCTCTTCTGGAGCCTCAATCCAGTCCAGTTGACAAATCAGATTACCTGGCATGGTATCCTTTTCACTAACTGTACCATCTTGGGTGGTTTATTCAATCATGTAAACAATAGCATATTCATCTCTAAAATGAAGATGAGACTTTGCATGGTTAGACTGGGAGTTAAATGGAAACAATGTACTTAGTTCAACCTAGTAAATCCTAATATGCAAAACACATCCAATGACTATGGAGTTTGACTCTTGCTTGATGTTCAAGGAGAATAACCCTGGGTAATAAATATAAATTATCCAGTCATTGAAAAGGCACAGACTCGGGCTGGGGATTTAGCTCAGCGGCATAAGCGCCTTCCTTGCAAGTGTGCGGTCGTGAGTTCGATCCCTGGTACCGATAAAAACGAAAAAGACAAAAAAAAAAAAAAAAGAAAAGGCACAGACTCTTATAGGGTAATAAATAAGTACTCATCTGCTCAGAGTTAAATTCACCTTAGCCAGTTCCTAACATTAGGTCTTATGAAACAAATGGCTAAAATCCTACACCAGATGCATTCAAAGCTAAAGAATGGTATGTGAGACTGTATCTTAAAGCTTACATTGGCCACCAGCCTGCTGTCCTGTCTCTGCCTCATAAGCAGAGTGATCTGATAAGGGCTCTGGACTTTGTCCCTTGAAATATCTTGGTGGTTTATTTACAACAGTGTGGAGCCAGGGGCAGGGTCAAATTCTGGTCTTTTAAATAGCTGGGCCACTTTAAATAGCAGAACTAGGGCCATTGTCAGAGATGGCCAAAGAGAGGGACTGAACTTAATGTTTAGGGGAGAAATTTGCCATTGTGAATTCAAACAGTCAGCCAATCTTAGAGGGTCAAGGTGACCTGGCACAGAAGAGGCCACCCATGTAGACTGAGATTGCATAGAGATACCCTCGAGCTGGAGGCTGAGCAGGGGCAATAGCAAGCAGAGAAATTTTCAGTCAAGGATAGTAGCTTAACTCATATATCGGTCTTGACTCTCCTGTGAAACATTACCAAAGCAACATTAAACTTAATTAAAAAAAAATAGGCATAAATCACAAGGACAGGGGGAAGAAGAGAAGAAACAAGAGCAGTAAAATTTGGGACACTGGAAAAAGTAGAGAAAATATGGAACTAAGAGAATTCCAAAAGCTGGACAAACCTAAGGCAGCAAAGGGGAAAGCTGTGGTGCAAACTAGTCCTCCACCAAAGCCTGGAAAGATCTGGGAATTGGTGGCACTAGTTATATCCAGAAGTGGGCAAGACGAAGCCAAAATGAAAAGACTGATGAAATATCTGTTTAAGAAGCAATTAAATCCAATATTCTTTTCCCTACACCGTGAAGATCAGTTACTACCCTGCAAAAGCCTGCAAGTTTATACTCTGAGATAAGAAATGACACATAATTGGTAGCAAGCAAAGATGTTAAATAAAGAGGGGTTAAATAGGTGTTTCCTGCTGGGTGTTGAGACAACTTCTACCTCGCTCAGCAAACAAATTATTGGGCAGAATATTTAGCATATGTTTCAGGGAGAATATTGGAAAAAAAACCTCTTGGCTTGAAAATCTTGTCTGCTCAAGAGAAAAAAAAAAAAACCTAATGGGGGCTGGGGATTGAGCTCAGCGGCATAAGCACCTGCCTTGCAAGCAGGCAGTCATGAAAAAAAAAAAAAAAAAACACCTAATGACATCCAGGGTTCCTCAATGAAACCACCCAGCTATGGATCCCACAGTGAATTTTTTAGTCACTCGGTTCCTTCTACTCACGCTGAGATTTCAGTTTTTGCTGCTCTTCTCTAAGTATTAGCAGATAGTTAAAGATTCCCACAAAAATGAGGAAAGCCACTAATATGAAAGATAGTGACTGGAAACAATCAGAAACATTAGAAGGAAGACAGGAAAATTTCGAACAGCACGTATATTTTATTGTGTTCCAAAGGATGTGAAAATATTGCAACCATGAAAAAGAATAGCATGTCATAAAAAATTCAAGGAACAAAGAGCATTCTTGGGAATTATTAGCATAATAGCAAAACAAATCCAGCAGATTCAAAATCTAAATAATATGCCTTGCAGGAAAAAAAAGAGAAAAAACAGAAGGCAGTTGATTGTTCATGAGATAATTTCAGAACATTTTTGAGACTGGACACACTTACCACATTCTCATTCAAGACTTCTGTTTCCTGGTCAAGCACAGAAGGAGCTAGAAGATGCTCTTCCATTCTAACAGTGAAAAAGCTGAACAAATCTATAAAATTGGCAGCTCTTCAAAAATCTAACTCCAGCAGAGAGATGTGGTCTCAAGGCAAACGGGCCAACAGGACAGTGCAGAGGATTGTGGCTGGCCAGAGCCGAAACAGAGCACAAACCTTTTCAGGCACCAGTGTCAAGGTGGGAAAACCTAAACTATCACTGGAGAATTTTTGGAGGTTCAGCATGGACAAGATTGAGAGACACAAATTCCAGTTTAAACTTTTTTTAACTCCAAGGTCTCCACTGGTTCTCATGTGATACTGGAGAAAATTCTCTCATACTTCTGGCAAGAAGAGGGGAAAAGTAATTGTTTTCGTTGCTTTTTTATTTCTGGAACAAAATACCCAACACTCACAATTTAAAGGGGAAGAGGTTTATTTTGGCTGACAGTCCTAATATGTTGAATCCATGGTCCAATTTAACCAAGTTCAGTGTAAAAACTACACAGTGGAACAGCCTAGCAGGCAAAGCTGCTCCATCATGGTAGCCAAGAAGCTGGGAAAAAAAAGAGGTACCAGGCCACACTCACAGAGCTGACTTTTTCAAAGTCCCACCTATGAATACAATGGCTGAATAGGGGAGCAGCCACATTGAAATTACTCAGAGAAAATCAGCGAAAACACAGGCAACTGGAAGAAAGACAGGGGACATACATTCTGAATACATGAGACTTTTGGGGGACATTTAGGTTTAAGCCATAGCAATTATGTTTTTTTTTCTTAACAAGACCTCTCCTTGGAAAAAACTAATCAGATTCCAACCTCTTGGGATTTTATCAGAGTCTAACTGATCTGAAGGAAGGGAAATACCTAGTTTGCGTCTACACACTTATCTTGTCCCCCAAAAAGGAAGCAAAAGTGCATGTGAAGCCAGGTGTAGTGGTGCACACCTGTAATACCAGCACTCGGCAGCTACCCTACCGAGGCAGGAGAACCTCCGTGAGTTCATGGCCAATCTGAACTACACAGAGATGCTGTCTCAAAAAACCACCACAACAGCAAAAAAGTGAATGTAAAATATACAGTCCAGAGGTACAAAATTACTAAAATGTTAATGCCTTGATATTTCAGTAGAATGCTTCCCTCACACTCTACATGACCATATCACAAAGGATTTACTTACCACAATTTCCCTACCCAGCACACTATGTATGTACATCAAAAAAAAAAAAAAAATAGAAGACAAACTAAAAAGCAAAAATAAAATAAAACATAGCTCAAAGAGGCAGGTCAACCATCATAACTGGATGCAGATCTGGAGGGATTTTGGAATTGTAAGACCAGGAATTTAAAGCAACTATGATGAAGATGACAAAGTTTCTAATGGATAAAGTAGAAAGAATGCAAAAATAGAGATGTAGAAATTTTAATGAAATAATCAGAAGAAATTATACATACACACACAATAGAAATGAAGAATGTCTTTGATGATAGACCGAACACAAAAATTATCTGGGCTCAAAAAAATCTTCATAGAAGCCAACAAAAATGGGAAAACAGACCAGGGATTTAACTCTGTGGTATAAGTGCCTGGCTGGCAAGTGCAAGGTTGTGAGTTTGATC